GACTTCCTCGACATCTGCCCACCAAGCTCCTCCCTGGCGGCCAAGCACAAGGCCATCATCTTGGACTTGTTCCAGTTCTTGAACATACCTGTCGCCACAGAGAAAGTTGAGGGCCCTTCCACTGTCCTCGATCACCTTCCTCGGTTTGGAACTGGACACCGATCGCTTGGAAGTGCGTCTGCCTCAGTCCAAGCTTCTGGCCCTACGTCGTTTAGTCTCTACCACCCTCGACCAGGGTTGCGTTCTCAAACGCGAACTCGCCTCCCTCCTGGGCCACCTCTCGTTCGCTTCCAGAGCAATTCCTGCCGGCCGTACATTCTTACGCCGCCTGTATGACCTCGACAAGGCCACATCTGAGATGTCATCTCACCGAATGCTGCACCTCTCAGCCTCAGCCAAGGGCGACCTGAGCTGGTGGCACCAGACTCTGTCAACATGGAACGGAAAGTCATTTTTCCTGCTAGAGAAGTGGATGCCCAGCGCTGACCTCCAGTTGCAAACCGATGCAAGTGGCACCATTGGATTTGGAGCCTTCTTCAATGGTCGCTGGTTCAGAGGTGACTGGTCTCCGCAGCAACTGGAACTAAGCATTACCTACAAGGAGCTCTTCGCCATTGTCGCGGCCTGCGCCACATGGGGGATCGAGTGGCTGCGGCTGCGTGTGGAGTTTCAGTGCGACAACCAAGCTGTCGTGGAGTGCCTGAAGACGGGCACGAGCCGATCCCCTGCAGTCATGGCACTCATCCGCACCCTGTACTCAATCTGTGTGAAGCACAATTTCCTGATCCGAGCATCGCACCTGCCAGGAATTTCCAATACCATCGCTGATGCCCTGTCCCGGAACAAGATGGATGCCTTCCATAGCCAGCAATCGCATGTCATCACGTACATTGAAAATCAACATAATTTTGCGAATCGACCTTTTTTTCAGGATCACTTTTCAACGAGGACGAAGCAAAGTCGGCCGAACGAAGCCTAGAGGAAGAAAATCACCCTCTCCACTTCACCATCACGATACTGACATAGATACGAGATGAAACAACTAAAAAATCCACAAGAAAACTGTACGGCCATCATCGCGCTGACTTTGGTCTGACTTTGGTCTGAGAATTTCTATCATGATCAAAAATGTACGAGGAGCACTCAAAAATAAGCCACAGACGTACCTTTATCGCTCTCTACTCCTTTTTCAAGGCACAAAAGTCGACTCTCCACTTTCAAACCAGGAGCCAGACATACCAGTGGTCCTTTTCAGCTGCTCCACGAGCGCAGGAAATGTTCACCAAGGGGCGCAGAGCAGCATCCATTCCAGAAAAAGAGCTAAAATACGAGTGAGACTGCATGACTGAGTACATGAGTACATGAATGAGTACATGCAGAAAATAGTCAATTTCAGCGTTTCTGCTCCAAACAGCAACTAGCTTCGACTAGAAAGAAAGATTACACCAAAGGATCAAACAACAACCATTTTCTGCAGTTTTTTTGCAGATAGCTTCCTTGTGCTTGGCCCAGCATGCCAAAAATCACACCTCGGAGGAGTACAAAAATTACAACTCTCAGATGTCCTCGATTGCTGGCCATGAGGACCTTTGCTCCTACAGCTGCGGAGCGGCCTGACACCATGGTCCAGCCGATCACCGAGTAAGTGCAAAGACATTCACTTAGGATGCAGATAGCGTTCTTTGTCGATCCTACTCCACAATATCAGTCTGACTTTATGCCTCTAGAACAACGCTCTTGTGCAATACATACTTACCATCTATATTGGCTGTTATCACCCGCTATCTCCTCTGGCCCTAATGGGAATGTCGGCATGGGCACTCCTCCGTAACTGGCCTCTCGCGCACTACTATTAAACTCGCATGGGTCATAAACCGCTCCTGCTCAACGCAGGCCGACCCACCAACTCGCATGGGTCACAAACCGCTCCTGCTCAGCGCAGGCCGACCCACTTGGTCATATACAGCTCCTGCCCTCGGTAGGCCGACCACACGATTCGTTAACGCGCACTCAATTGAGGCCAGCTACTCTGCCCGACATTCCCATTCTTCCAAACTCACTCTCTTGTCTTTTGGTGTGTCGCGTCCTGCACGCGTGTGTGTCTACTCTATACTCTAGCATGGGGAGTAGAATGTTAAATGTTCGGTTAATGTTGGAGTTAACCGTTGTTAACAGTCACATACCATTGCTTCGCTGTTGGCCTTTATAACGGGTTGCATAACCCTCCTTACGTGTGTGCACAATCTTGCTCTCTCTACATACTGCTGTGTATCATAGACATCACATGCCCACGCTCTGCGCATGCGCAGATTTCCTGCGCGCACAACAGAGCTTGCTGTCTTTCCAGTTTCCTTGCCTGCAGTCAGCTTTCAAATTCTGACCCACCCTCCTCATCCCATTTCTTACTCTTGCACTCCACTCCATATATTTTGAAACACATGGATGCGGGCACTCCTCCGTAACTGGCCTCTCGCGCACTATTATTAAACTCGCATGGGTCATAAACCGCTCCTGCTCAACGCAGGCCGACCCACCAACTCGCATGGGTCACAAACCGCTCCTGCTCAGCGCAGGCCGACCCACTTGGTCATATACAGCTCCTGCCCTCGGTAGGCCGACCACACGATTCGTTAACGCGCACTCAATTGAGGCCAGCTACTCTGCCCGACATTCCCATTCTTCCAAACTCACTCTCTTGTCTTTTGGTGTGTCGCGTCCTGCACGCGTGTGTGTCTACTCTATACTCTAGCATGGGGAGTAGAATGTTAACGGTTATTTGGATTTGACCGATCACTGTCGCCATTTTTTCAAAATGGTGGTCGACCCTTTTTGAATTCTGTATGGTCGTGGTGAGCCTTGACTTTCCCGGAAAGACAGGGGTGCTGGGTTCGAATCCTGCTTGTGGATCCTTCTTTTGCAACAGTTTGAACAATCCAATGCTGGATCAAGGTTGTTTGTTGAACTGACAATTACCCATGAAGTTGATTGTTCCAACTAGGAACACACGCTCCTAGTTGGAACAATCAACTTAATGACTATTACCGCCGAAGTCGCAACTTCTAAGTTTGACAATTACCCGTCAGGACTATAGCTGCAGACAAGTCGAAATGGAGATCAGACATTGTTTATGGATGAGTTTTTTGTTGACTGGAGACAGAAGCGGACTTGGCTTAATTTCAGTGTATTCTCATGCATTGATCTTTGGCCTTTGTACGTGTGCTGTGGTATTATTATTATTATTATTATTATTATTATTATTATTATTAAACTCGGATGTTGAGCCATAAATAAATGTAGAAGAGAAAAGGACATATGGATACGAGTTAAGAGTAACTCTCCATCACTGTAACATGATACTTTATACAGTCAGAAAGTGCAATAACTAGGCACAAAACTGACAGAGTACTGAAACATTCGACGTCCTGACACCTAATTCGTTTTCGCAAAGCTTCCCTTTCTTTACTTATCTTTGATATTTATGACCCACCCAAGTTGGGTGGTGTGCTGCTTTGCTGCTTCGAATTGTAGTTAGACCGCTTTGTCAAATATCGTACTGGTCTCGTCATCGTCCAGTAACAATCGACATTCTTTGTTCCGTTGGGACTGTAGCTTTTGCTCGTTTTCGTTGCGCTTGCCTTCCCCTCTTTGGTCTTTCCATAACTCTGAACCTTCCAAGTTGGAAGGCTGTCGGTTAGCGCTACGGAGATGTGTTGAAGCTAGGTGTCAGGACGTCGAATGTTTCAGTACTCTGTCAGTTTTGTGCCTAGTTATTGCACTTTCTGACTGTATAAAGTATCATGTTACAGTGATGGAGAGTTACTCTTAACTCGTATCCATATGTCCTTTTCTCTTCTACATTATTATTATTACTATTGCTTAGGGAGTTTCCCTGAACGTGTATGACCCTTGAGTCTCTTCTTTACCTTAGGGTACCTCGACTCAAATGAATTTTTCCATTGCCGAAACGGAAGGTATTTCTCAAAACAGAGAAGCTTGGCTCGGCATTGTGAATCAATGTACTAGCTCATCATGCTAAAAATATCTGCACTTACTCAAATATCTTTTTGGTAAAAAGTATTCTGTACTTAATATTTTGTTCCTCATGGCTAGGCTCATGGTGGAATCGAAGAAGGTTTCCCTGGAATAACAGAATGGAGAGGGTGTGTACAGTCAACTTTGCTTATAATGACACTCGGCGGGGCATCAAAAAAGTGTCCTTATTCGCAAAATGTCGTTATACCCGAAGTCTCATTATATGTATTACAGTTGGATGGGACTTTGCTCTGGGCATGGAAATTCTGTCGTTTTTCGGGAATTGTCATATCCGCAGACGTTATTAGCCAAGTTGACTGTATGCCATGTATTTCTCGTTTTTATTTCTCTAACTCTTTTACCGACAGATGCGTTAGCCCATGGGTGATCTCGCCCATGGGGTACATGCGAGCTGTTACTCTTATTCTTATTATTGTTACCTCAACTCAACAACTTAAGTAGAACGGTCTCTTTGTTGCATACGCAAACTAACAGTTATTCACCAAATTTCCGGGCATGGCCGACCTTCAGGGTGAAAACCGTTTGGACTTTAGTATACTTAGCCATACTACTACCAGTAATATTACTGTGGATGACTTTTTATTCCTTTGATTTGAGTGAATAAGGTCAAAAAGAGACTCAAGGGTCGTACACGTTCAGGGAAATTCCCTAAACTATAGTCTTGCCAGGACAGTGCCCTACCGAAAAGGTGGTAAATGCATATGAACAGATCTTGCATTGCTTCCAATAGAAACTTTGGCTAGGCATGTTTGCGTGTTTGCAATACTGCGCTACAGTAGCAGCACTCTTGTGTAAGTGCAGATCATTTCCCTTTTCGGGGTTTCTGAATCACTGTGCTCTTTTGCCATGCACATGTCAGTGACGAGGGCATGCAATATATAATGTGATTTCTTCGTGATATTCGTGATGATGTGCTCTCCCCTGCATTCTCGATGGCAATGATGCAGCAGCAGCAGCAGCAGCCGCAACAACAGCAGCAGCCGCAACAACATCAACCGCCACAACAGCAGCAGCTGCGGCACCCTCCCTTACCGCCGGCAGCGATTGGCAGCAATCTCTACCAGTCACAGTATGGTAACACGCCAACGGCATCCTCCGCCAGTGGATCGAGTGGCGCAGCAGTTTACGCTGATACAAGCTCTCCGTACTATCGTCTTGGCAACAGACCGGTGCAGCAAGGTCACACATCTTACTCTGGATCTTCGGTGAAGGCACTGTCGGGACACGAGAGCAGTGTGAGTAGACAGACACACATATTCACACCCGTGCGCGCGCGCGCGCGCGCACACACACACACACACACACACACACACACACACACACACACACACACACACACACACACATATTGTGCTTGCTCACTGCCAAAGTTGGTCACATGGGTCTCCCCGGGAGAGGGGAGAGAGACTCAAAAGGGATCTTGGAAAGATGACTCAATTGGCTATTGAACCGCCCAATGGCCGACACCCCCTGAAATCCCTAGACTAGGGTGGACTGGAAATGATTCCTTTTATGGGATCACCACACCTCAGTAAGTGGGTGAGGACAAGGTGCAGAAGGATTAACGGCATCAGGGTATCCGTCCTGGGATCCAACTGCAGTTACCCCTGCCCCCAGTGAAGGTAATACTTGCTATTAGTGTGGGTGGCGAAATCAGAGTGGATCTGGTATAAGCTTCATTAGCACCATTGATTACACTAGAGTTAATCTAGCCAGAAGCAGTCCATGGTTAACAGGTAAGTATACTTGGAGTACTTCAAATAGAAAGTATATTAACCCTGAAACCAACAAAGGTGGTAGGCACAACAATGCACCTTCAAGCAGCCAAGCTCATTGGCAACAGACCCAACATTATCTGGCATAAGTGTGCCCACCAACCGAACTAGCTGGCACACACACACTCACACACACACACACACACACACACACACACACACACACACACACACACACACACACACACACACACACAAACACACACACACACACACACACACACACACCTCAGACCTGCCCACCGCAGAAGCGATTATAGCGAACAGCTATGTTAGACATAGCACACACAAACACTGTTAGGTTCGGTAGACAAGAGACACGTAGTTTATTAGTTAGAATACACGAAGTAGAAAAACTGACCAGATTCAATCTGTCAACGACAGAGAAGACTTTCAAAGATATGCGTGCGTGCATCCACAGTAGAGCTAAAGTTGTACGGCATTACGTCATAACAAACACAGTAACATAATAATAATTATACTCTCACGCCCCTTCTGAGATAAAACCCGGTTTTGTCTCAACGAAAATAAATAAATATATTAAGTCATAACAGACGAGATGAAATGACATAGGCATGATGTCATAGGCATGATGTCAAGATGAGACCAAATGCTACAGACAAACGGTGTCACACATATGACTGTCCAGACGTAGATGTAATGGTCAGGCGTCTTGCGAATACGAGTGCTACGACGAACAGGCTGGGTAGCGGCGTCAGTACGTGCACGTACTGATTAAGTTGGGGAAGGGGTATGACTAGCGGAGTCAACACATGGGAGAACATACGGACGTAAAAAGCGGCGATTCAGCCAGAGGACACGGCCACTAGGCATCTTGACGAAGTAGTCGCACCGACTGCCAATTGCTACTGTTCGACATTCTGGTACCTCAATCCTCCCAAACGCAACGGACGACGGGAACGAGTGGGGGGAAACATTTATTATGGTAGACGCAACGCAACGCAACAACTACATTATGAGAGAGACCTCGACTGAAGAGAGCGATTATTTGAAGAGGGAGTCAGAGAGAGAGGCAACGCAATATAAAGGGCCTGGGTAGCTATGGCAAACATGGGTGCGCAAGTAGCTACCCAGGCCAACGGAACAAAAGGTGAGAATGACGTAGTACGGGTGCATGCAGGCCAGCTAGGGGAAAAGGGTATACTGTACGGGTGGAGGTACCCAACATACCTCCCCTGCGTAAAAAAAAGAACCGCGGCCTCGCGGGAAATATCAGGACGATGAGAAAAATAGAGAAAAATGACTGAGGAAGTAGAGAAAAACACACACACACACAAACACACACAACGCACGGATCTCACAAAGGTGCTATACCACATGTTACATGCACTACAGGTCGCAGGTTCCTTCATTGATGAGGAACACAATCACCTTCTTCTTTGCACGGCTAAAACAGCTTAGTTATACACTTTTGCCAAATATTGCAACCTAAATAATAGAGCGTGGCTCACCATGATCAGACCTCTAATATTGATGGCTGGAAACACGCGCGCACACACACTACAAAAAAATCACGAAATAAATAAACCGAAAATAAATTTGACGAAGTAGGACGCACGAAAGAAAAGAGAGAGAGACAGAGAAATAATGAGAAATAGCTGCCCTGCATGTCTTGCACGAGACGAGGTAGACATAGGCGAGACGAGGTTGACAGAGACGAGACGAGGTTGGCGTAGGAGAGACGAGGTTGACATGGACGAGACGAGGTTGAAGACGAGACGAGACTGACGACGAGTTCTGGAGCAGGGTCGTGGGTCCGAGCGAAAAGCCGGGTGCCAATGTTGGACATTCTGGCACCTCAATCCTCCCAAACGCAACGCAACGGACGACGGGAACGAGTGGGGGGAAACAGTTATTATGGTAGACGCAATGCAATGCAACAACTACATTCTGAGAGAGAGCTCGACTGAAGAGAGCGATTATTTGAAGAGAGCTTACTGAAGAGAGAGGCAACGCAATATAAAGGGCCTGGGTAGCTATGGCAAACATGGTTGCGCAAGTAGGCCAACGGAACGAAAGGTAAGAATGACGTAGTACGGGTGCATGCAGGCCAGCTAGGGGAAAAGGGTATACTGTACGGGTGGAGGTACCTAACACTACAATGACGCCACACATGGACCACAGCTTGGTCCGGTGGTGCTGAACATCAACGTGGGTGCCAATCGGTAGAGAATGGAGAGAGCGTGCCGATTTGTCATAATGAGTTTTCGAGAGCAGGTGGCATGTGACGTCTGGAAGAAAGGAAACCGTCACGAATACAGGAGACTAACTGCACGTAATCAACGTCAGACTGAGCGGCATCTCGGAGCTCGTGGAACGGGACACAAAATAGCGCTGATCCGGAGTCATCCTGCTGAAGGCATGCCCGGATGGCTTGTCCAGATAGCGAGTCGGCTTCTTCCAGGAGATCATCGGCAACCGGGTTCTGTACTGGAGCACGCGACAAGGCATCAGCAAAGGCATGCTCAGAGCCCTTGGGCCACGAGACGACGAATTGATAGTTGTACCTTGGTCATCAGACGTTGGAGCCGAGGGTTCTCAACCTGGTCCAGTGTGTAGGTGTTCAATATTGGAACAAGGGGCTGATGGTCAACAACTACATGAATCGACACCTGACACCTGATCCATGCCATTACGGTCGAGTATGGCTCTGCAGACTTGCTAGAAATTAGGCTAGCAATCCTCTTGTAGAGGGCCATGCTGCACTTGCCCATTCCACCGGTAGCTGAAAATTCGGCTGGCACAAAGGAGGCATGCTCTACTTCACGAACTCTTTCTTCATAGTGGCGTCTCTTCTCCTTCTCAAAAATATCCTGTACTTTAAAATATTTTGTTCCTCATGGCTAGGCTCATGGTGGAATCGAAGAAGGTTTCCCTGGAATAACAGAATGGAGATGGTGTGTACAGTCAACTTTGCTTATAATGACACTCGGCGGGGCGTCAAAAATGTGTCCTTATTCGCAAAATGTCGTTTTTCGTAGTCTCATTATATGTATTACAGTTGGATGGGACTTTCCTCTGGGCATGGTAATTCTGTCGTTATTCGGGAATTGTCGTTATATCCGCAGCCGTTATTAGCGAAGTTGACTGTATGTCGTGTATTTCTCGTTTATATTTCTCTAACTCTTTTACCGACAGATGCGTTAGCCCATGGCAGATCTCACCCATGGGGTACATACCAGCTGTTATTCTTATTCTTATTATTGTTACCTCAACTCAACAACTTAAGTAGAACGGTCTCTTTGTTGCATACGCAAACTAACAGTTATTCACCAAATTTCCGGGCATGGCCGACCTTCAGGGTGAAAACCGTTTGGACTTTAGTATACTTAGCCATACTACTACCAGTAATATTACTGTGGATGACTTTTTTTTCCTTGGATTTGAGTGAATAAGGTCAAAAAGAGACTCAAGGGTCATACACGTTCAGGGAAATTCCCTAAACTATAGTCTTGCCAGGACAGTGCCCTACCGAATAGGTGGTAAATGCATATGAACAGATCTTGCATTGCTTCCAATAGAAACTTTGGCTAGGCATGTTTGCGTGTTTGCAATACTGCGATACAGTAGCAGCACTCTTGTGTAAGTGCAGATCATTTCCCTTTTCGGGGTTTCTGAATGACTGTGCTCTTTTGCCATGCACATGTCAGTGACGAGGGCTGGCAATGTTTAATGTGATTTCTTCGTGATATTCGTGATGATGTGCTCTCCACTGCATTCTTGATGGCAATGATGCAGCAGCAGCAGCAGCCGCAACAACAGCAGCAGCCGCAACAACATCAACCGCCACAACAGCAGCGGCTGCGGCACCCTCCCTTACCGCCGGCAGCGATTGGCAGCAATCTATACCAGTCACAGTATGATACCACGCCGACGGCATCCTCCGCCAGTGGATCGAGTGGCGCAGCAGTTTACGCTGATACAAGCTCTCCATACTATCGTCTTGGCAACAGACCGGTGCAGCAAGGTCACACATCTTACTCTGGATCTTCGGTGAAGGCACTGCCGGGACACGAGAGCAGTGTGAGTAGAAAGGCACACATATTCACACCCGCGCGCGCGCGCGCGCGCGCACACACACACATACACACACACACACACACATACTATGCTTGCTTACTGTCAACGTTGGTCACGTGGGTCTCCCTGATAGAGGGGAGAGAGACTCAAAAGGAATCTTGGAAAGATGACTCAATTGGCTATTGAACCGCCCAATGGCCGACACCCCCTGAAATCCCCAGACTAGGGTGGACTTGTTAATGATTCCTTTTATGGGGTCACCACACCTCAGTAACTGAGTGAGGACAAGGTGCAGAATGATTGACGGCATCAGCAGGGGCGTAGGGAGGGGGTGCTGTGGGTGCCAAAGCACCCCCTCAAAAATCCGATCTTGGGTCGCATTTGGTTCGAAAGAGACCGCGGAGTGGGACCCTGATCACATGTGCGACTCCGTACATCGCACACTGGAACAATCCCTGTTCAGACCAGTGAGTAGTAGGTATTGTACTACTCCCTGGTTCAGACCAAGGTGTTCCAACATCTGAAACCAATCGACAGGCTCCTAATTGCAGTTGACTATTTTGTCTGATGATTGGCCATTTCCAATGAAACTTCTAGTCAAGGGCGACTCCGCTTCGTAGATCTACCTGCCGTTGTGCAGTATCACGTCAGACCTCAGTAGACTCAACACATGATTTGCATCGCACTCCAAATGTTTTGTTAGAAGCAAAGAATCATACAATCCCACCATCTGTAGAAGTAGCAACACCGTCCGTGGAAAACACACGTCACACATACAGTTGTACAATCATGCAGTTTGTTCGCGCTATGTTCTGTATAATGTAGTTCTGGCTGTTGGGTGGTCACGTTGGAGGTTGTGGCAAGGCAAAGAACTTCATGTGTTGCAAGTGTGGGAACAGCAGCAGAAGAGTGAAAGTAGCGCTGAAGTGCAGTTTACATTTTTGTGGGAAAAAAAGGAGAAATTTAAAAGCATTTATAACAACCCTATGCTTTTTTTGTAAAGGTGCAAGGCTGCAAGGCAAAAAAGCATAGCGTAGGACCCTGAGCTTCCAAGCTCTCTCGTTTTTTATCTGCACTTACTCAAATATCTTTTTGGTAAAAAATATTCTGTACTTAATATAGGGACAAGCTTAGAAAGCGATCACCGTCTTGTGCTGGCAAACCTCAACCTGACTAAGTTGTACAAGAAGCTCAAGAGGCCGCCAGTAGCCATATCCAGCAACGCAAAATTCAATATATCCGAATTTAGTGACCCGACCAAGAAAGCAAAGTACAGAGAGGCTATCAACGAACATCTACAGGACCTCGGCAGAGAGCAGGAAGGTGTCAATGCGGAGCAACATCTGCAGTATATTGTGAACGCTATGAGTGAGGCAGCAAACACATCGGTGGGCCGCGTCCCTAAAACAAACAAGACGCATAGAAATGGCTTCAGCGGGGAAATTGAAAAGCTAGCAGCAGAGAAACGCAAACTGCGTCTCGACATTACGGTGTGCAGAGATGGAACGAAGGTAAAAGAAATGAAGACGCGACGCAACAGGCTGGCACACCAAATTCGCCGGGAATGCCTCAAGTTAGCATCGACTCGACTGGACGAACGTGTAGCTGAAATAGACCAAATGAAAGACGACGCGAAAATGTTCAAAGCAACACGACTACTGCGCCGACAGCAGCAGTCACCAGTTGTGGTTGAAGACTCTGATGGCAAACTCATTGCACAACCTAGTGAATCAGTCGAAGCATTAAGGCAACACTTCCGTGCTATATTCTGTGATCCTGCTCTGGAGTCATCTAGGCTCTTACGGACAGAGGAAGACCTTAAAAACCCTATAAAGCAGCCAGAGGTACATGCCGCAGCTAAGCGCTTGAATAATGGCCGAGCTTCGGGACCAGATGGGATACCTGCTGAACTTATCAAATATGGAACACCAGCACTGTTCTCGAACATTGCCACTACATTCAACAATTATGCCAAAGACAAATCACTCAAGCTAGGCGATGGGCTACTGATCCCGATACCAAAGCCGGGAAAGAAAAGAGGTCCTCCTGGAAATGTAAGGCCAGTTACCCTGTTGAACACCCTACGTAAACTTCTTTCATTGGTCATCCTGACGCGGATCAAGCCAGCTATCAACGGGTACTTGTCACTGAACCAGAGCGGGTTCCGGTCAGGGAGAAGTACTGGAGACGTGGTATATAGCTATCGGTGGTTATCAGCAAGATGCCAGCGTGTTGCGTCGGAGATCTCAATCTTAGGCATTGATATGTCAAAGGCATTTGACACTATATCAAGGGTCAGGCTGATCGATATACTGTCAACAGTCATTGATCATGATGAGCTGCACATCATCCAGTGCCTTCTGACAGACACCACAATAAAAGTAAAGCTGAATAACATTCTCAGCCAACCATTAGTCACACACAATGGAACCCCACAAGGTGATTCTCTATCGCCAGTCCTGTTTACTGTCTACCTCGAGGCTGCATTGAGGTTGATTCGAGAGCGACTCTCACCGCGACCAGCATTGGATATTCAGCTTCAATTGCCCAATGAAACAGCGTATGCGGATGACGTAGACTTCATCAGCACCAGCCTACAATATTTGCATGACAATCAACCCATACTATCATCCTCGTTAGCGGAATACAATCTAAAAATGAATGAAGCCAAAACCGAATATACTACAATTAAAAGAGAAAAGGACAGAGTAGACGAGCGATGGCGGAACACGGTCAAACTAGGATCGATGCTTGGAGTGGAGGAAGATATCAGTCGGAGAAAACGTCTAGCAACATGCGCCTTACATCAGCTGTGGGTGATATGGCTAAGAGGTAACCATGCCCGTGAACCCCTTCGGATTAGGTTATACGGCAGCTTTATTCTCCCAATACTTCTTTATAACTGCGGCACATGGAGCCTGACAGAGACTCAAGAAAAGAAACTTGACTCGTTCCACCGCCAGCAGTTACGAGCAGTCATAGGGGTCAAATATCCCCGTATAATACGCAATGAAGCACTGTACAAGCGCACTGGCTCCAAGCCACTCAGCAGAATCATCCAGTCTGCTAGGTGGAGAATGTTTGGCCACATGCTTCGACTAGACACCTCATCCCCGGTCCAGCAGGCTATGTCGGCATACTTTCAGCCAGGAAGCTCAGGGTTCCGAGGCCGCCCGAGAACAACACTCCCGCGATCCATCAACAACGACCTGAAAAATTCCAGATCCACAAACTCCCTCACATCACACGAGGATCTAGTTGCACTGAGGCAGCTCGCCCAGGATCGTCGAAAGTGGAAGGATCTAATGTGTGCTGTGTGTAATGGCTGAAGTTATACAATTACACTAGATACCCTTAACAATAATAACGGATACAATTACACTAGATACCCTTAACAATAATAACGGATACAATTACACTAGATACTCTAGATACTAGAGACTCGGTACTCTAGATACTAGATACTCTAACAATTTTATCAAACATTATGATAATTACCACATCAAATGCTGCGGAGACCTATCCAGAATCGGCAATATGCTGGCCCTGGCCTGGAGATCTGCAACTATAATCAGCTTCTAATTTGCAACACTAACGGATTAGTCCCCTTTGTCGATTGATGGATCAATCGGTAGATTCGGCTCTGTTTTTCTTCCCTTTCTTTCTTGTTTTGAATTGTACGTTGAACTCATTGGATTTCTTTGTATTCTGTATCTCGTTATCGTTATATTTCCCTCTAGCCCTCTCGCTTAGGATGAGCTTTCTTTTTTATGGCAGCTTAAGCGAAGGCTATATACCTGCTTTATGCAGGTTGATGCCAACGCGAACAAGCAAAATAATAATAATAACTTAATATTTTGTTCCTCATGGCTAGGCTCATGGTGGAATCGAAGAAGGTTTCCCTGGAATAGCAGAATGGAGAGGGTGTGTACAGTCAACTTTGCTTATAATGACACTCGGCGGGGCGTCAAAAAAGTGTTCTTATTCGCAAAATGTCGTTACACCCGAAGTCTCATTAGATGTATTACAGTTGGATGGGACTTTCCTCTGGGCATGGTAATTCTGTCGTTATTCGGGAATTGTCCTTATATCCGCAGCCGTTATTAGCCAAGATGACTGTATGCCATGTATTTCTCGTTTTTATTTCTCTAACTCTTTTACCGACAGATGCGTTAGCCCATGGCAGATCTCACCCATGGGGTACATACCAGCTGTTATTCTTATTCTTATTATTGTTACCTCAACTCAACAACTTAAGTAGAACGGTCTCTTTGTTGCATACGCAAACTAACAGTTATTCACCAAATTTCCAGGCATGGCCGACCTTCAGGGTGAAAGCCGTTTGGACTTAAGTATAACTAGCCATACTACTACCAGTAATATTACTGTGGATGACTTTTTATTCCTTGGATTTGAGTGAATAAGGTCAAAAAGAGACTCAAGGGTCATACACGTTCAGGGAAATCCCCTAAACTATAGTCTTGACAGGACAGTGCCCTACCCAATAGGTGCTAAGTGCCTATGAACAGATAATTATTGCATTGATTCCGTCTTTCAGTGTTAAAGACTCTGTGACTTGGACTGATGTGCAGGTTGGATTGAGCAGAACTTGTAGATGTGTGCCAATAGAAACTTTGGCTAGGCATGTTTGCGTGTTTGCAATACTGCGCTACAGTAGCAGCACTCTTGTGTCCGTGCAGATCATTTCCCTTTTCGGGGTTTCAGAATCACTGCGCTCTTTTGCCGTGCACATGTCAGTGACGAGGGCTGGCAATGTATAGTGTGATTTCTTCGTGATATTCGTGATGATGTGCTCTCCACTGCATTCTCGATGGCAATGATACAGCAGCAGCAACCGCAACAACAGCGGCAGCAGCAGCCGCAACAACAGCAGCAGCCACAACAGCAGCATCCGCCACAACAGCAGCCGCCACAACAGCAGCAGCTGCGGCATCCTCCCTTACGGCCGGCAGCGATTGGCAGCAATCTGTACCAGTCGCAGCATGGTAACACGCCAACGGCATCCTCCGCCAGTGGATCGAGTGGCGCAGCAGTTTACGCTGATACAAGCTCTTCGTACTATCATCTTGGCAACAGACCGATGCAGCAAGGTCACCCACCTTACTCTGGATCTTCGGTGAAGGCACTGCCGGGACACCAGAGCAGTGTGAGTAGACAGACACACATATTCACACACGCGCGTGCGCGCGCGCGCACACACACACACACTGTGCTTGCTCACTGCCAAAGTTGGTCACGTGGGTCTCCCCGGGAGAGGGGAGAGAGAATCAAAAGGAATCTTGGAAAGATGACTCAATTGGCTATTGAACCGCCCAATGGTCGACACACCCTGAAATCCCCAGACTAGGGTGGACTGGAAATGATTCCTTTTATGGGATCACCACACCTCAGTAAGTGGGTGAGGACAAGGTGCAGAAGGATTGACGGCATCAGGGACCAACTGCAGTTTCCCCTGCCCCCAGTGAAGGTAATACTTGCTACTAGTGTGGGTGGCTAAATCAGAGTTGATCTGGTATAAGCTTCACTAGCACCATTGATTACACTAGAGTTAATCTAGCCAGAAGCAGTCCATGGTTAACAGGTAAGTATACTTGGAGTACTTCAAATAGAAAGTATATTAACCCTGAAACCAACAAAGGTGGTAGGTACAACAATACAACTTCAAGCAGCCAAGCCCGTTGGCAACACACCAAACATTATCTGGCATAAGTGTACCCACCAACCGAACTAGCTGGCACAATTACACACACACACGCACGCACGCACGCACACACACACACGCACGCACGCACACACACACGCACGCACGCACGCACGCAAGCACACACACACATAACACAATAATATAGAGAGCTCCTTGTTGCAGGGCATAGCTTAAGGATTTCATTTAGCTCGGACAAATGTCCTTCCGTTTTGAAATCTGTCCGGACATACCCGGACATTTTCCACAACACATTGTCAGGGTGTTTCTTCTTTTTTTTAGTAGTACAGTGAAAGAGTGAAAAATATCTTCCTCTCAAGAGCGAACAACTGCACTAGCAGTCCAACCCATCGATTCAAGCGAAGTCGACACCAATGGTCGAAAGTGTGAATTGACTGTAGCAACAACGAGTTGCTACAGGCGGATCAAGTAAATAATAGTGAAGTCTACGCCTGAGACTACGGTGTACGTGTTAGTTGTACGATATGCAAGTCGCATTTGGCACGAAGCTCCGAAGAAAGCCCAACTCTGCATAAAAAGGTCGAAAGGTCGCTGCTCTTTTTTTACTTTTTGACCGGACATTATGTCCGGTGAAATTGAAAACGTCCAGTCAGTGGCCGAAATGGCCGGAAAATGTCCGATGTCCGGCCGTTAATCTATGCCCTGTTGTTGTATATTATACAACAAGGAGCTCTCCATCAACGCGCTGATGTAGCCCGTATGTACGTCAGTCGCAAGAAAGGTGGACGTGGCTTGCAGAATAATTCAAGATGTTTTCACCATGGAGAAATGCGGCGCTATGTGCTTCAGTCAGAGGATGAGCTCCTGGAGGTGGCTGGGTCAATTCTGTGGCCACATCTGAATATCCCACCGGACTTCTCACAGTTTGGGTTTCAAGAAGAACACCTCTTGACGTGGATCCAGAAATCCTTGCACTGAATGTTTGTCTGGCAAACAGACCAACTGACCAACGATAACACCTAGAGGTTGTCTGACAAAGGCTGGTCTCAAGAAGACCACAGCAAACCTGATCATTGCAGCACAAGACCAGGTCTTGAAACCCTATCTGCTCATGTCCTTGATACTGCTCATTCCCATTCATTTTCCTGCAAATTGTCCTAGAGGAGCCATCGGAGTCTGACGGCGAACGATATGCAATTTGAGCAAAATTTACCACAACATCTTCATCTGATGCATCTTCAAGTGTCGTGACCATTGGCAGGGGTGGATCTGTTCTGTCATATGATGGTGTAACTTTGGGTCACAACAATGGCAACTGAGCGCCTGTACATTCATAATGTAACAAGTATAATCATGGACTGAATGCGTGCATCCCTTTTTCACCACGCAGTTGCATATGCTGCTTGGCCTGGGTGCAAAATTGGGCTTACAATGACTGTGTTTTAGCCTCTTTCAAAGAGGTGTACCCTTTTCTTCTCCTTGGCTGTCACTTGGCAACCAAGTGCCATGATCTACGAGCTTATGACCAATGCGGGAAAGAAATTTCTCCTGGATGTCCACGAGCTAGTAAAGTTCTTGGATTTTGCGAAGTTGTTGATGCATGTCACATCTATTCATTTATGTAACAGGCTTGCAGGGGACATCTTCTGGAATAGTCTTTGTTGGGTAGATCCACCACATTCGATCGAAGCGATCAAGGACATATCTCGTCTTTTCCTAGAAGTAGATTATGCGGGGCTTCCCACTCTAACCATGTAAAGTATCTTGCTCCAGGTTGCCTACAATCGATGTACCATTGATTATTATTGCCACCTTCTACCTTCTACATCTACCTCATTTGCATCCTACAATGCAGCCTTGAAAAACAAAATGCAATCCACGATTCCTGGCAATGAATTTAGATGGTAGTTCACTTCCACGTACCACACTGGTTCTTATTGCAACTCTTTCTTCTCCGAGAATTTCTGTATCAGTACTTATGACAAGTTATGATGAAGTTATTTTAGAATTGCGATCAACAGAACGAGCTGAACCGACATTTCACAAAGGCTTTTATTGTATTCAAAAAAACGACTGGATACGAAGGCAGTGAAGAATATGGAAGAAGAAAAACTGTGACATGGAAGAAATGATGAACAAAAATCTTACTTCGAACTAGTTTTCGCACAACACTCCTCAGGAAGCTACGTTATACTCATGAAAAACATTCCAGAAAGATACAAATAAAGAAAAATGGAGTGAGAAGAAACTACATTCTCCTGAGAAGAAACACCTATGAAAATGATAATCCTAGCACTAAGGTAATAACAGGAAAAACTGCGAAAGCACTTAACCAACTTGTATGGACTACTAGTAGACTGTGACACAAGATATGACACCATGGCCAACCAGGGACAAACAAACAGAACAAGCTGCTACTAAAACAATTTCAAACGAACAATGCTGTCCTTCTGGACACACAAATTAGGCTTATGAATACGTTGACAAACAGCTTCTAACACACTCAACTGCAACTTATAACCATGACGAGCACTGCACAAAACAGAAAAAGAAGAATCAGAATAAACCTTGCAGCAATCAGGACGAGATACAAGATGCTTATACACTGATGACTTCCTACTAGAAAACACACGCTCGCACCCACTCTTACTCACACAATCATTCTCGCTCTCACACTCACCGGACTCACTGGCCGAATCCTCCTCAACGACGTCCTGCCTTGGAACAATCAGGTCCCGTCTCCTCCGGTCCCTCGTCTCACGTTCCTGTTGTGTAATCCGTTGGCTCGGTACTTCCGTACTGAAATAGGTCATGGTGTAATTAGCAGTTGTTCTTCTGGGTCTCGTTGATATTGAGGTAGGTATTGTTGTCGTCTCTGCCGGTGATGCAGCAAGCGATGATGACGCAAACATGTCTGTATGCAACACATGTGGCGTCGCCAAAGCCACATCCACCTCCGCTGGTGGAGGAAGTGACTTGGTCATGGCCACGGGGGCCAATGGTGGAATGGCCGAGTGGGACGCTAGGTCCTGTGTTGGCGGAGGTAGTGGTTGTTTACGGGGTCTTCCCCGAGTGGGGCGCTCCAGTTGTGCGCTACGTGGGATAATGTGTAAAGGAGTGTGTTACTTGATGCGTTCGCTCAGGTGCTGAGCAGTCCTACCAACACACCGGCTAGCACAATTCCGGCATTCAAAATTATAGATCACATGACTTAAATTATGGGTGGGTAGGACGTCCTTCAACACCGTGAACGAACGCATCGTTGTGTAGATGGGTATGAAGTGTACCGCATAGTAGGTTTGTTTGATGATCGAACGAACTTCACGACTCACATTGTCAGACTTCTTGCCCTTCCATGGTAAGCATAAACGGACAGGACAACGAGCAGGCCCTATCAATTCATGTTTCTGCGTGGGCGCTGTAGACAACAGTTTTGCCAACATGTCCCCTGGGTATCCGTTTTTGGTGAAAACAGAACGGAAAAATTCGAGCTCACCACTGAGTTTACAAGGTGAACAGATCCGTTTGGCACGATCCACGAGATTCTTTACTAAGTTGACTTTATAATTTGATGAACAGTACGAGTCTTAGGAAATGTATTGTCCGGTGAATGATACACCGATGTTACGCTACCAAATTCGGTTTTCTCAACAAGTACGTCGAGGAAGGATTTCCCGCATTGGTCATAAGCTCGTAGATCATGGCACTTGGTTGCCAAGTGACAGCCAAGGAGAAGAAAAGGGTACACCTCTTTGAAAGAGGCTAAAACATAGTCATTGCAAGCCTAATCTTGCACCCAGGCCTAGCAGCATATGCAACTGCCTGGTGAAAAAGGGATGCACACAGTCAGTCTATGATTGTGCTTGTTACTGTGTGTTATTTATCGGTACGGGTCGAGGAAGAACGTTATACCGAAACACACATTCCCAAAAATAGTTCCTCATATGCCAAGTGACGTGTACGTATTGCTTTTTATTGTATATCTGTGATTGGAAGATAATCTTATGCCAGCAATTGAAATTTTGCCAGTATTTGAGACCATCGTTCGCAACTGATGATACGCGTACATTTTATTTTGGTTGCCTATAGCTGAACAATATTGTCTGGGCAAATCGTAATGAATGTGTTGTCTACATCATAAATGCCACTAGTGATAGCCTTTACTGAAAACAGAACTATAATATTGGTCATGAACATGGAAATGTATGGATGTGTCAAATGACACCGTTTGGCCATTCTAGGAGTACTGAAAGTGGTGGCCGTCCTGGGGTTAAACTCGATATTGTCTGGCCACGTCTGCATCAATTACAGTCAACTTTGCTAATAGCGACTGCGGATATAATGACAATTCGCGAATAACGCCAGAATTTCCATGCCCAGAGCAAAGTCCCATCTAACTGAAATACATACAACGACACTTCGCGAATAAGGACACTTTACTGACGCCCCGCCGAGTGTCGTTATATGGAAAGTAACGACTGTATATTCTTTATTGCGCTTATAACGTGGGCATTTTTCGGGGGGGGGGGGTGAGGCAGTACCAGGCTAAAGTTGGATACTGCATTTTTCATAGTGGAATTTGCACTGGAGTATAAGCCGCACCCACTTTTTTTTGTCACGAAATACAGACTTCTACTCTGTTTTTCATGGTTCATTTGACCATTGTCGTGTAAGCGGCACTGACTTTTTTATGTGGATTATGTAGAATACGAGCTTATATTCCGGAAAAACCCTGTAGTGTGACTTTCTCATTTGCGTTCCCTTGTCTTCTCAACACAGTGGCATGGTGTGTGTGCGTGTGTGTGTGCGTGTATGTGTGTGTTTTTGTGAAAAACAGAAAGCTTCAGCTGCTAGTTCCGCCGCTGATACTGCCGCTCGAAGTTGCTGCATTGCTCACTGCAACATCTGCAATAGTTGTTTCCACTCCGCCACGGCAGCACGCGACTCCCATTCCTGTACCAACAAGTAGAGAATGAGGCAAGTTCCAGCATGCCTGTATCTGCTCTCGCTTCCAGATAAGTCTACTCCGTTAGCTGCTATATCTGTTGCTAGAGGAATGTCCAGCTGAAACAAACAGATAATGCATAGAGGTAGAGATGTATCCTCCCAAGAATTTGAAATTGGGCATGGGGAAATAGTCGGTCCTGTAGCCGACCTGGGGCCGTACCACCCTCCAGAGGTAGAGATATATCCTCCCAGGAATTTGAAATTGGGCATGGGGAAATAGTCGGTCCTGTAGCCGACCTGGGGCCGTACCACCCTCCAGGAGCTGGCTCCGGGCCTGCTATGAATTTTGAGAGAACTGCAATCTATTGAACATTTTTGCATTTTCTGCGATCTGTGCTGAGAGTCGACAGTTCATGGAAATTGGATTTACCCAACTTCAGGGCACGCAGCAAGTCGGGCACGAAAAGATTTGATTAGTTTCAAGCTAGGTACAGTGAAATGGCCGACGAAGACCGATGTCATTTCGTGTCTGGAACTGCAGTCACGTTTGGATCGCGTCGTGGCGGACAGTGAGTAGTGCTCTTGACTACCATACTACAGTGCATTTCAAAAATCTAGATGCGTGATTTCAAAAACCCGTTAGGCCAGCATCTATACCACATAAAACCTGTGATCATTTTGTGCATAAACAATCCGAAATTGGGCTTTTGTTACCTGATCACTACAACATAATATTATATGAGAGTAATTGGGGGAAGGACCTGAGGCATATTCTGAAAAGAAGTCCTCAAGAAGCTCCAGTCCAATTTGAAATATTTCAAAAATACCGTGCGTCTATATATTTTTGATATGGACTGTAGTTGGAACTCCTTGTAGTCCTCCCACCAAGAGCTTCCCAGTGTGTCCAAGATCTTCAAATTGGTGAAATACAACCAAATATATGGTGGATATTGATTGCGTATCTTCATGATTGCCACAATTGTTTACAAGTAGGAAGCAATACTATTATGTACGGTAAGCGTTAACGTTTTTTAGAACACGGAGGCTCCTTGTTATGGTAGTCGTGACTGATCGTGATATGTAAGGGTTAAGTAATATGTAAGAGAAAAGGGCCTATAAGTTATTAGTTATGGCTAATAGTACACCAAGGTAAGGCCATGGTAAAAATTATCTTTGATTCTCAAGTACGCGCACCGATTTATGGCGGCGCACCGACGATTTTTTATATTTCTATGCTATCCCTCCAGGAAATCGCGATCCCACGGATGCAAAAAATTTCGCGTTTTTCGTCCAAACCCGCGATTTTCAGGAAAATCCGTGATTTCCCACGTTTTATTGTTGTTTCCTGCACTATATCTCACTTTTTATGCACTTTTCACACAGTGCTTTCCATGAACCTGTAGGTTATTTGCACAGCACGACTCGTACTACTCCCAAGTAGATATATGATGCAACAAATTTCGTGATTTGACCCAAATCCGCAATTTTCTGTAAATAATTCCGCGAATTCCAGGCAAGATCTGCATTATTCTGCACTTTTCGTCACATTTTGTTGTTGTTTTCTGCCGCAATTTCTTGCGCAAGTTTCCGAGAGTTTTTCCGCAAATTCCCGCAGGGACAGTCTATGCATGAATATGCGCGCATGAAAACGGTCAATGCGAAAGGAATGAATCAGGGAGTAGTAAAATAACGGTCTTTTTCTACTAGGGAGGGCTAGGGTCCAGCGGATAATGCTCCGAAAATCTTCGTATAATGCTAATCATAATGCTCCAATAACTACCTGATAATGCTGATTAAAATGCTCCAACAAGGGCTATAATGCTCTTGGTTTGGAACAAAAATGGAAGAAAGGCTGCACATTGTCAAACTTCCAGGAAAGGATGCATATAGTCAACCTGCCTCTGAAGCTGCTGCAATATCTCTCACGAGCTCCACCACTTCTTAGCACTATAAGACATGATCGCGTCTCCATTGGCTGCTCTGCATTGCAACTTTGATGCAGGGCTGTGGCTGAACAGTGGGTGTATCAAATCTTTTCCCTTGCTTATCCTTGAAGTGGGATGTGAAACCATTATTGCTGGTGATCAATTAGATGCTGGAAGCTTATCATGGGAAGTGGTATTCCTGCCTGCAGACAAGCTGTCACTGCTTCCACTCTGTGAAACATGTCTTCATCTGAAACAGTTTACGCGAGGCAAGTTCCTGAGAGACGATCTCAGATCGAGATCCCTCCCATTTGCGGAAATCCTGAACACCGTGACGTGGTCAGAAGTTATTTTGCCGCTCTACACCCTCTGCTTGCGCTGTCTTCTACTCCTGAGGTTGCGTGGAGACAAATGGTTGGCCACAATACTCTTCTTTTCTGATAGCACTTGACTATAGGCCTTGCATTACAATCGTCCACGACGAACTGTACGTGCTTCACCAGGAAAGTAAAACATACGCTGCTGAGCACTCAAATCGACTTGGTGCTGCGTCCATGAGAAATTCTAGTTCTTTTCGAGCCTGCCGAGCTGGACTCGGCAAAGGCAGTTATTAATTTTGGAGTAAGCTCCTTCATGCAGTTCCAAATTGTTATCAATGGATTAGTGTTTACTTCAGTATCGCTAGACATGCTATAGCCAGAGCCTATGGCATAACACTTTCTATTAACAGGAAATTCCTCTTCCTCTGTTTGATATTCACTTCGCGTAGATCTACGTAGTCTCCTCCATCATCCCGCATGGCTCTCCATGATTTCTAAAAACATTCCTCGTAAATCATCCTTACGGATTTTGTGCACTTCGAAGCATAAACAGCCTCAGTTGCAACGTTGGGCATGCTACATCACAATCATGTACATTGCTACATAAAGACTTTATGTAGCAATGACATTACTGTATGTAGTCAGGTGAATGTAGCGCTAAAGGTGTTATGTGTGACGGTGTCTACACTCACAAAGTCATGTGCCGGTATGGCGTTGCACCTCATGCAGCCATGACTTTAGCTGATTGTTGCCAAAAACCATGGGATTTCCCGACATTATCCACTATAAAACTCTTTATGCCGCTCAAACCTCACATAATGCTCGTCTTGTTCCTTCCTAATGCTCCATAATGCTCTAATGCTCGGATAGTCTTATAATGCCGAATATAATGCCGGCATTATCCGCTGGACCCTGGGGAAGGCCCGAATATGCTTGCGCATATTTTCGCATATTTTGGTCCTTTTGACCCAAGGTCGCATAAAGTAGCATATTGTACCTAATGTAGCATATTTTGCTACAAGGAGCAAAGAATTCGCATAATTATAGGGCAGATTGCGGAAATGGATAAGGAGACTTACCACGGCATGCTCGGTCAGGGAACACTCCCAAACTTAGCCCGGAAGGAAAAATGCTCATCCATAAACGAGGCGAAAATTTGACCCGAGAAGAGAGTGTCCGCGACTCAAGGTCGCGTAAAGTAGCAAATCTAGCATATTGTACCAAATGTAGCATATTTTGCTACAAGGAGCAAAGAATCCGCATAATTATCACTGATATCAGTTCATATTTCGAGCATATTTCGAGCATACTTCGAGCATATTTTTCTGCTTTTGTGTGATTTCGAAGCATATTTTGAAGCAAGTGGCCAATATGCGAAAAGCATAATATGCGAAATAGTTGAGCATATTTGGGCCCTCCCTATTTTCTACTCCCTGGCCTGAATATATGAACATGAGACCATGTACATATGTGTGACCCTATCTTTGGGAATATAAAAAATTGTGGGAATAAAATAAAAAATCGCTCGCTCGCACCGATTTTCACAGGCTCATGACCTGAAAATCAACTTTATTCCCGTAGCTATGCAGAAGACGTTACTTCAGTAACGTCTGGCGCTAGCCAGGGTCCACACAGCTTTAATTTGGTATGTGTGTGTTTGTTTGTTTGTTTGTGTCACGCCTGGCGCTATCCCGTATCTGTCCCGTACCGTACCATCAAACACAACTGGCCACATACAGCTGGCCGCAATATTCAAATAGGGCTTTCAAACGCAAGATCATATTATATATAAACGTGAAGCAACTTGGAAGAATGGGTATGAATGCGAAGTGTACGGTGGAATGCATGTAGGGCGATAGTGCGGGTTCGAATCCCAGGATATGCCTGAAAAAAAAATAGGAGAATTGAAAAATGTATAACATCCCTATGCTTTTTTTGCCGTCATCAAGGCGGTAGACGGTGTCGTATTACCCTCGATCGTACCTGTCCCGTACCTATCCCGTACCGTACCATCAAAGACGGCTGGCCACAATGCATATTCAAATAGGGCTTTCAAATGCAAGATCATAACGTGAAGCAACTTGGAAGAATTAGTATGTATGCGAAGTGTATCGGGGGATGCTCTCTCGTTTTTTACCATGGCCTAATGAGACAATATACAAACAGATCGTTCCCCTCTTTATGTGTTTGTTTTACATACCTTTTAGCATCCCTAGTTGGCTGGTCTGTTGTCTTGCATTTTCAAGTTGTAGTTAGACCGGCTTGTCCAATGGTCTTACTAGTCTCATCATCATCATCATCATCATCACCCCGTAGTGTTCGACATTCTTTGTTGCCGAGGGACATAGCTCGTGCACATCTTTGTGGCGCATCTGTTCCCCTCATTGGAACTTTCCGCACCTGAGCCTTCCAAGTTTGAAGGTTGTTTTTTTTGCGGTGTGGATAAAAGGTGTCATGGGTATGGGTATGGGTGTGGATCAGATTGCAAATGGTGTCGCCGTACTTCTCGACTTGTTGCATTCCGGGTATGCTAGGTCCACTTTCTCTTGTTTTCCTTTTGTCTGTCTGTGACTCTTCATCTCACTGTTCTCTCTATTTCTCTCACTGTCTGTCTGTCTGTCTCTCTGTCTGTGCCTCTCTCCAGGTGAAAACAATGGATCTAGGGCTGAGCTTGTGAAGCGGCGTAAGGAAGAGAAGCCGCTGCCGCTGTTGGGTCTGATCTAGGATTTAGCTCTGCCTTTGTTGGGTCTGATCAGGGAATTAGCTCAGCCTCTGGCGGGGTTGATCAGGGAATTAGCTCTGCCTCTGGCGGAAATGATCATTTCGAGGACTCCCACGACGGGGACAGTTCCGGCGGTGGACAGGGTGCGGGAATATAACGATTTAAATAACGGTTACAATGACTTTGAGGTACGTTCCATGACAGTGTGTCTGCTGGCATCATACCTTAGAGCCCCTTCTAGTACATTGTCTGTCTTTCTCCTTTGTTGTCTCGATCATTATTTTTTTTTGTCTTTTTCTTCTCCTCTCTTTGCTATGGTCTATCAGTAGGAGGTGCATTCTGGAAATAAATAAATAAATCACGAGTCGGTCTCACGCTTAGGCTGCTGTGCCTCACACTGAGTAAGAATATCTGGGCTCCTGGCTGCAGATGCGCGGGCATGATGTGAATGTCGATGCTATGAACAAGATGAGCTCGTTGAGTTGTCGACTACATGACCTTCTCAGCGATTCTCAAAACCGCATGCAGCAACACTGGGAGAATGCTGTTCAATGGCCTACAGACTTAGTCAAGACTCTGCACCATCGAGTTTGTCACATTCTCTCACTAAGTCACCTTCAGAGTATAATGCGAGAAATTTGGACCTTTAAAACTCTGCACTTTCAGACTTGATTTTTGTGATGTGTTTTCTCCAGTGTTTTCGCCAGTGCGTGTGTGCTCCAGCAATACTTGTTCCCCAAGCTGGCATCTTCCTATTGCTGCTGTTGCTATCAAGAAGTGTGCCCTGTAAATGTTTCTTCATATTTCACTCCTCATGCTAGGGCTATATTGACTGTTTGTATTTGACTCCTTTTTAGGGATCAAAAGACATGGTTTGGGTTGTCTTGACAACAATCTAGTATTGACTTTGTTAAAAAAAAGTAAAGTTCGCACTTCCGCGTTACCACCGGCTATGCAATTTAATTGTATTGAGAAACACAACCAGCTTAGGAAGTTGTGCATGTGCCAGGCCCCAGTGACCGGCAAGGGGGCGAACCTCGCTGCCTTTGTACTAATCAATATTATTACCGTATTTCCGCAAATAAAAGGCCGTCCTCGTATACAACGCCTTCCTCGTATACAAGGCCGGGGCAGGGGGCGATTGAAAAAATAAAAGACCGTCTTCGATTAGAAGACCGGGCCTACTAAATGAGTCTTTGTTCTTGTGTTAAAAATGGTAGACCGTGCTCAAACTGTGGGAAAAAATAGAAGACCGTGGTCAAACTGTGTAGAAGAAAATGGAAGAACGGGGGTAAAACTGTGTGGCGAGAAATAGAAGACCGGGGGTCAAACTGGGTTGAAAGAATAAAAGACCGTCCTCGAATACAAGACCGTCCTCGATTATAAGGCCGGGTTAGGACGAGGTTGAAAAAATAGTAGACCGGCCTACTATTTGTGGAAATACGGTATTATAGGCTTTTCCGCGTTGGCATGGCCAAAGCAAGCTTGCAATGGCTAGCCTTCACATAGATCTATGCTGCTCCATCATGACGTGACAAAGCAATGAATGCTCGTATAATTATTATACGAACTAGGACAGAACCAAACCAAGTCAATAATAAGAAAATATAAAGCCATCAGTTGCCTCATGATCGTATGACACTCGTAGTAATACGTAAAACTCAGAGTTGTGACACCGTTTCCAGTGCTGCCAAACCGTCCGATTTTTGAAGGCTCTTCCGAAAACCGGTCCGAAAAGGGAAACGTCCGAAAAGCAGCCAAAATGTCGGAGATCATTACTTTCCTATGCAGAAGTCCTGTACTTTCACTTTTCAGCGCAAAAGTGAAGGCACAAATCACTGTACATTTGCTTCTAAAAAGGCTAGCGCTTGGCTGTGGAAGTGCAAAGTAACATGCATGCTAGAGATCAAGATGGAAAGAGAAAACATGACTCCTTCTATTCATTAGTTGATTTCTTGTGTAAAAAGATTTTTTCATTGCTAAATTTTTAATAGTTTAATTTACCTTTGATTTTTATTTCACGGATCCTCCAGAGGCAAATAGATGCCTATCGAAGGGAGTCTCCTAAGTAAGTATGGAAAATGAGAAAGTATGTTCGTAAGGGAGAAGAGGTAGAAGATACATTAGAATATAGAGTACAGAAGAAGTAAATTCAGTACTTCGGGTAGTACCTTTGAAAATTATCATGTTCAACTGTCTTCGTAATCGTCATACTCGTGACACTGACAGTGACAGTCTGTACAGAGTCAGTGTGCGACCACACTCATCATTACAAAATTCATGACAGCTCCGGGGTTACCATGGCAACGAAGCGAATTTTTTCATGGTGTTTTAGGCGATATTTTGAATTCTCTGTAAAAAAAATTGCCGAGGAGAAAAATTCGCACCATGTGCACATGTGGCCAGCCTTGGCATGGCGGTGAAGGGTGTCCGATTTTAGGCGATAATTATTTGGCAGCACTGCGTTTCCTATCTCTCTTGTGTACTATAAGAAAATAGAAACCTCGTAAAAGACCCCGGTTTCACGTCTTTCTTTTACAGTACTCGGCTTTTTCCTATGGATAGCGGCAAGGGCTGGATGAATAGCGGTACTGGCCGAGTATGAGTCACTGGAAAGTGTTTCCCGTGTGCACCCAAGCCAAAGGCAAAGAGCATGCATGCACCCAAGTAATAGTTCCAGACTGTCCAACCGTCCCGACCTCGTCTGGACAGTCCAGATTTGAGAGAAATTGTCCTGCGTCCTGCCGAGGTCCTCATCCGGACGCCTTTTGTCGTGTGTGATGCATATCACGCGAAGATTCGGCATGTTTGTTCGGAAAAAGCTCACTTTGCCGAAATATTTTTCGGACGAATTTTCTTGTAGAAGAGCGCTAGGGCGTGATTTATTCAAAGAGGTTTCTTGTCTCGGCATGGCTTCGCAGGCGTCTTCGGCGACATCAGCATCTTCAGCTACCTCTGATTGCTCCTCTCCACTGCCTGTCTACTCCCTTTCGCCTGGAGTGTCCTCACCGTCATCTGTGTGGCTGAAAACTATGGCGATACTTGGCCATAAAGGTTGGCTATTCTGAGGCGACAGGTTTGACCCTCGACTCTTTGGGCGATCAAAGTTCGTTGGAATCAGCAAGAAAAGGAGCACGGGACAGGACGTTGCTGATGCTGGAGCTCACAAAATGAAAACACATCATGTTCGACTTGCAAAACAAACGTCTTTGTCCCGCTTTTTTGTTACCTGAGACAGTTAGTTTGTAATTTGTGCAGTAGACAGGAAGTCAGGTTAGTTGTAAGATTGTTTTTAAGATTGTACTTAATAAAAGGAGCGAGTTTGTATCATAGTGCCGACACCAGCGCAAGTTTTTGCTGGGTTATGAAGTGACATAACGTGTATGGCGTGCTTTGGGTTTGGCGTGTGTGTGTGTACGCGTATGTGTGTGTGGTGTGTGTGTGTGTGTGTGTGTGCGCGTGTGTTTAGGTGCGATAATGCGGGAGTGTGGAGTGTGTGAGAACGAGAGGCTGTGTGTGTGGACTAGTGTGAGACGGTGTGTGTGTGTGGATGAGTGTGTGTGTTCATGTTTCACCATGGCATAGGCACCCAACACCTTGACTGCTTGAGATGTTGATTCTTGCACGTCAGAGTGTACTGCCTCTGGGAGGTGTTGATTATCATTATTGTCTTCACTGAATTATTCTATCTCCTCTGCTTGCCTCCATATACATGTACCTGCGTTTTTTCTAATCTCCTTATGTTGTCTGATGATTGTTGTTTTGCCATGAAACTCTGAGTTACAACAAAACAACAGCCCTATTCACTTCCTTTTGTGTACCTCTTGCGTAAGATTGTACTTGTATTCATAACCTGACCTGCCCGCCAAACCTCAAACGCAAGATACAAGCACAAGCGACAATGGGTGGCAAAACCCACACCGCCGCCGCCGCCCTGCACAAGCCGACACCAACACTAGCAGTAATCCACTGAAACGCACTATCACAAGCCAGTTCACAAAAGAGCCAGCCCGTACCAAACGCACTGACCTTCAGGGCGTGGAGCGGGTGAAGCGCACGGCTTTCTACCTTGGCAATGTAGACTTTGGATGCGATGCTGCCTCAATTGAACTGTGGTGTAAAAAGAAAGATGTCGAAGTTTTTCACTGCTCAATCTCAGAATCACGGTACTTTGGTACAGCTTATGCCCACCTGGTTGTGGGAGAGAACTGTGTAGACAAGATCCAAGGGCCTGGTTTCTGGCCTGACAAAATTAGTATCCGGAAATGGAGGTTCCACACTGACCAGGCTGAATCTGAACAATGAGTAAACCAACACCTCAACTTGACCCTAACGCAACACCCTTCTATCCTTCAACGCCCCTAGCCGCCTTTTCCGTAGCCTGCATCAATGCACGTTCCCTTAGAAACAAATCTTCTGAGCTATCTGACTTTCTCACGACCAGCTGTCCCCTTGTTGTTTGCATAACTGAAACCTGGTTGTGTCCACACATTTCCCTCTCCTTCCCAGGCTATGAATGTTTTCGAAGGGATCGACCCACCTCCGAGAATAAAATTAACACCAACGACTTCCTGGCCTATGGCGGTGTTGCTATCTTAGTAAAATCAAGTGCATTTGGTCCTATTACCCACCGTACAGACCTACATCTTCCGCAATTGGAAGCTACCTGGGTAGAGATATCGCCATCCACTGGAACCTCTGCTTGCCCCACGCGCCAGCAGCCCATCCAAATTGCGGCTGTCTACCGCCCACCGTCCACCGACCCGTCGGTGATAGATAACTTTTACGCCTCATTTCAAAGCTGCTTGACTAAAATACGGACCCCTGGCTCGCCAGTCCTCATCATGGGAGATTTCAATGCTGAATGTTCCACCTGGTATGGAACAACAACAGACACTGCGGGCCACCACCTTTCATGTCTTCTTGACATGTTTGCCTTGCAGCAACACGTCACATTCTCGACCCACCGCTCCCACAAAGGCAATGAGGCTGCTCTGGATTTGATGATCACTGACACTGCAGCCAGCATCTGCGATCCGCGCCCCCCAGCCCCTCTCGGTCAGTCGGACCACTCAATTGTTCTCGGCCGTTTGTGCATCCCGACATGTACCGCATCACCACCTGCACCCAACACTACACTGCCCTCCCATTCCTTCCAGATACCTGACTTCAGTCAGTTTGACATCTCCTCCATTCTTCCCACTCACCTAGTTGCTCTAAATGAATCCATTGCTAATTTGAACTGGCATGCTGCTCTCCAGTTGAAGCTTGGAGATCCAAACCGTACTGCTCCAGCATTTTATGACATCCTTCATGGTCTATGCTCCGCTTTCCTACCTACCCGGTCGCGCTCTTCAGCCCCTAGACGACGTACGCCAAGTCCCCCGTGGCTGACACGTGCTGTTAAAGCTCAGCTGAAGAGGAAGCGAGACTCGTACAGCTTGTATCGCAAGTATCCTACCCCTAGCAATCACAAGCATTACAAGTGCGAACGTAACAGAGCACGAATCCTATCTAGAGAGGCTCACCGCCAGTATGTGTCCTCCATTAGCACTAACCCCTCATCCATTATTGCATCCACCCCTAGTTTGTTCAAGTTTGTTAAGCAGCTCCGTTCGCCGACCCCTGTTGGAAACCCTATCATCACTGAACTCCATGAAAATAACACAGTACACAACGACCCTACCCAGATTGCCAATGCTCTGAATCGCCAATTCATCAGCTTTGTGGAACGCCGGATGATCCTGCATGGTCTCTCCCTGGTATTCCACACCACGGGCTCCCAGCACTACCCTCTTTTAGCACTACTCCCACCGCCATTGCCCAACACATCCGTCGCCTAAAGCCCAAGAAGGCGGCAGGTGCAGATGGCATATCCCATGAACTCCTAAAAGCCCTGTCTCCTAGTATAGCTATCCCTCTCAGCCTAGTTTTCAACCAGTCCTTCGCCA